CTGCCCCCAGAGGGGCAAACCACACCTAGACCCAGGAGATATAACCCTTCTCTCTGGGGTGGAGGCAGTGTAAACTTCAAATATCTGCTCGATTTATCAAGACATCACATATTTGCAAAAGTGCTCTAACATTTTCGGAGATGCCTGTTACCCAGGACAGACCAAGTACTGTTCCAATTCAAAGTACACACGAAGCCGAGGACGCGAAAAATTCCGGGATGTGTTTTTGCTCCTCCCGTTTTATCGAGCATGTGTCGGTGGTGACCTGTGTGGACTTAGAGGGACATGGTACAGCTAAATATCCCAAAATGCAATTCGTCCAAAACTCAAACGCGGCAATAGTGGAGGAGCTCAAATATCTGCTCGATTTATCAAGACATCACATATTTGCAAAAATGCTCTGGCATTTTCAGAGACATCATATTTTGTAATGCTTTGTGGCAGCTCTTGAACATCTGTGGCATCTGTTAATGTCAAATCTAGTCTTTTTTTAACAACATAAGCAAACTGCTTTTATATTTAACCCACGTTCATAAGCAAACTGCTTTCCCACGTTCATAAGCAAACTGCTTTTATATTTAACCCACTTTTCTGTTTAATTACATTTTAAATAATAATAATAACAACAACAATAGTATTTGTTTTGTTAAAGATGTGTTTAAAAACAAGTTTCATTGTGAAAGCTATAATCCAGATTAGTGGCTTGTTAAATTGTTAAAGTCTAGGTTGGCTTTATAATTGAGAATAAAGTAATATAGCTTGTCCTTCTAAAGAATTAAGTTAAACTCCATAGTTGAATAATAAGAAACATTATGTTACATATAAACCCTGCCATATGTTAGATCTGGTCATTTTGCTTATTAGAAACTTTATATATTGGAAGTTAGCTTTTAACAAGCATGTAATGATTCTATTTTAATTAGGTGGTCTTTTTTTTAAAACACATATCTCTTTAGGGATAAACACACATTCAGACACAGTAGTAGATGGTGTTTTTAATACTATATGTGTTAGTCTAATTTGGTTGTATGGGGTCTACATTGACCTGCTGTGTTGTAAGTTATAATGATTGCACAGCAATTAAGGATCAAATCAGCTTCTAAAAAAGTTTCTGTTTTTTCTCCCTCTGCTTGCTTCTTACTCTCTTTGAGGCTCGGGACCAGCACTCCTGCTGTTGGACAGTAAGACATCAACTCAGTGGTAAATATTTTGGTTTTCCAATATATTAGCAATTGTCGGTGACATTTATATTAATCAGGCTGAACTTTAATCATACTTTAAATCAGCCTGTTTTACTTGTTGCATGTTGTTACTTTACTTTACTTGTGCTTTGGTTTGGGGAAGTTGTTTCTTTACTGACCTGTTATTAGACTTGAGATATGACTGCACTGTGCTGTTGCTGGTGACTCCAGTTAATTTTACAAGACATGCTGTGTAAGTAAACAAACAACAACAGTTTGGTCTGCATTTCTTGAAAGATCACATCCCCCAAACTTAGTTTAGAGGGTCTACACTGTATATAGTGAAGTCTGCAAGTTTTCTAACAGCAAAATTTGTTTTGTGCCCAAATCATTTTGCACATCATTAGAATAAAAGTTATTGGCCATGTTTGCATAGCCCATTTTAAAATGATGTTGTCATGACATGCACACTTTATACCAAATGCAGAAAAAAATGTTTTAAGAAAGCAATTAAGTTCGTGTTCCAAAGAATACAATTGTTTGCTTGCAGGACAACAGGAGAGATGAGTCCTCCGTCACAGATGGTGTGGTCAGTGAAGATGGTCATCTGCAGGTTCAAGCTCATTGCATCTCCAACCCACATCCACTGCTACTGTACTTAAGGGAAGTTAAGTTAAGGACTTTCTTCTGCACTTACATTTGGATCACCTCGATCCATGACAGTCATTCAGGCAGTAATGCCTGGACTGGAAACAAGCCATCCTTAAAACCATTACAACATTCCAGCTCCTGTGTTGGAATGAAAAACAAATGTGTTGTTTAAATCAGAGACTGCACTTGTGACAGAACAATAAATATTTTATTTTGATTATATAAGTAATGTACGTACAAAACAAACTATTATTTATTTTCAGAATAATTAAATGTGAGACTTTGTTTCATTGTAAAATTATAACAGTGATGGCAATATAATTAATTGTTTGTTGTTCAAGAGAACAGTGTCCAGTATGTTGGTTGTTATTCTTTTTTGCATTTGAAAATAAAAGTTGGACTGATTTTAACATCATTACAAAAAGTGTTGTTATTTATTTTTAATCATATTCAGGTTACCACAGATTGTTTTTTCATTTAGTTGAACGAGAGATGTTTGTCAGTAGGTAAACAATTAGTATGGTGCAGTCAGAAATATCAAGTTATTTTTAATACTGCATACTTGCAAAGCATAAATTGTCCTAACAGTCATCTTAAGTAAGCTTTACTTGGGGTTTTTTGAGGCAACGAGTTTGCATATTTTTTTTGAGTTCTGGGAACTAATGAGGTTGTACAGTGTACTCAAAATGGATAAGTTGCTCTAGCTTTATCATCTTAAGTAAAACTTTACTCAATTTCATTTTGAGGCAACGAGTTTGCATAGTTTTTTTTGAGTTCTGTGAACTAATTAGACTTTACAGTGTATCGGTCCGTGGCCCGGGGGTTGGGGACCACTGACCTTGGGTGTCTGGGTGCCATGTGCAGTTATGTTCATCCTTATATTTGAACATGGTGTTTGTTAAAGGCGAAGTGTGATTCACAGAAAAGTCCAATGACAAAATACCACTAGAGTTCAGATTAGGCCGGCCGGTCCACCCAGTCACGGTCCTCTGGGTCTCACTCTTGCTGCCCACATGAGTGTTGAAGTCTCAGATTATGATGACTGAGTCACCAGATGGAGCTCCCTTGGGCCACCCACTCAGTGACTGATTTGAGTGAAATTCAAATGAGAGTCAGGATCCTTTCAATTGCATGAAGGTACAGGGAAACAACCCTCTAGTCCAACATACAGGATTAAAAATATACCCACCCCAAACCGCTGCCTCTTGCCAAGGGCAACTCCAGACTAGAACCGAGTTTGGCCAGGAGAATGGTTCCTGAGCCAAAGCCATGCACTGGGGATATGTAGCTAGTATCTCTCAAACATACGTACTAACTCAAGTTCCTTCCCCACCGGGAAGGTGAAGTTCCATGTCCCAATTGCCAGTCTTGATAGCCGGGAACTGATCCGTCACACATTGCACCTGACCCTTCAATGCTTCCTGTAGGTGGTGGGCCTACAGGAGAGTTACATGAACAAATTAGAGTCTATTAAACAGATATGATTAAAAGCACTGCAGCGCAGTACCTTTAATACCTACAATGTATTCTAATCACTGTGGAGATATTTAGAAAATACAGCAAAACACTGTAGTCAGCAGTAGCAAATGCTACACTGAAGTCTAGCAGGACAAGCATAGAGATGAGTCCACTGTCAGAGACCATAAGAAGATCATTCATAACTTTCACTAGTGCTCTTTCTATACTGTGATGAAATCTGAATCCTGATTGAAATTCTAAACATTTTTCTGCAAACAATCACCCAGCTGTTTTACAACTACTCTTTGAAGAATTGGTGAAATAAAGAAAGGTTCGAGATTGATATATAACAAGCTAAGACAGCTGGGTTAAGTAAAGGCTTTTAAAGTAATGGTTTAATTACTGCCACCTTAAAGACCCGTGGTGCATAGCCTGTTAATAGAGATAATGCTTGTTAATATAGAATGTCATGTTATTAAAAAACACACAAAAAACCGTGATGTATTATAACTTTTTTATATATTCACTTAAAGGTTGATTATTTTACTTCACCAAGTCTTCGGTGATAGGTTCACACAGTCACAAGCAGTAGCATTGCACCTAATATACCTTACAAACATGAACATAAATCCTGCACCTTTGCTTGCTTGAACATTTAAGTATTCTGGGTCATTTGGTAAAATCAATTAGCAAAATAATTGATTTAACAGCTTGTAAATGCTAAATATATATATTGTAGTATATCAGAACCATACAAATAGTGATTACCTTGATGAAATCATATGCACATGACATACTCAGTAACCACATGCACACTTTTGTTTTAGCTATAACTCTGAATTCTGCCTGTTTAGGATGAAGAAGTCAGAATAATTATTAGTCCTTTACCTTGATTACAGATCTTTTTTTATATATATATTTATTTTGTGTATGTACTGCATTGCAAAACGTCCTGCCATTTTATGATATGATATACAGAAGATATGCAACAGATACATTAAAATTAAAACTGAATTTATGACAGTAAGGAAGCTACAAAAGTGTTTAAACTGTTGTTTGCTGAATTGATTATATTGCTTTTGTTTTAGTTACAGCAGTAATAAGGAGGCATTGAATATATGCTTTGCTTGTCATTTGAACACATTAACTTAGAGATATGTTACAAGCAATTTTTAAATGACACTGAGTATGTATATAAAACACCTACAAATAACCTACATCCATCCAATCATTTTCTTCTTATGAGTTGCTGAGTTGCTTTGGCAGCAGCAGGATATTCCAGATGTTGTTTTCCCCAGCAACATTTTCCAGTTCTTCCTGGGGAATCTTGAGATTTTCCCAGGCCGGATAAGATATAATCTCTCCTGTGTGCTCATGGGCTACCCTGGGCCTCTTTTTGACTGAGCATGCCAGTAAGATCTCTAACAGAAGACATATAGGAGGCATCTCGAGATGCCTGAAACATCTCCACTGACTCTCTCATGCAAATGAGCAGAGGCTCTAATCTAAGCTCATTACCAGACAACTTAGTCTGAGGTTAGAAACCATATAGAGGAATTCCATTTCAGTTGCATGTATCCACAGTCTAATTCTTTTACTCATTTCTCAGAGCTCATGGCCATAAATGAGTGAGTTTTTGTCGTCCATCTCAACTTGTTCTAACTTCTCTTAAGGGAACGTGATGACTGGATTTTTACAATAGCGGTTACTCGAGGTGGACGGTAGCACTTTGGCTATTGTTTTTTAAGCCTTTGTTACTGTTACAATCAGTCAGAATATTCATCTACACCTAGTACATGTTGTCTACCCCAAGTATATATATTTAAGGCTCGGGGGAATGATGTTGCTTGGCTATTTATTCAAACTGCATGGACCTTAAGTAAGTGAATTTTATTTTATTTTATTAATGACGGCAAAACAAGTGATGACAATTGTTCATATTGGCTGAATATTTAAAAATCATTTCTGTTAGAAGTAACTTAAAGGGCTGAAGGAGAAAAGGACAAAAGAAGAGCACAATAACAGTAAAGATAACATTGGAATGAAGATAAAAGGTGCCCAGAAACATGGACACAACTTTTCCCTGGATAGATGAAACCTGTGAAGGACAAGCAGTGTTTCTGGTAGTGACAGGAGAGCAGTCAGGATAATCAGACAAGCCTGCCCATAATGATAACTGAATGATGAATTAAGCAGGATATGGCACAGACAAATAATGTGTTCTTCATCATGTGCCAGACTCCAGTGTGTTGTTTTTTGTTGATTTTTTTTTTTTGAATTTTTGTCACTTTTTTGATGAATAGTATCCTGTGAAGTAAGATAAATCAATTATATTTCTGTATTTCCATAATAGTGACGTATGTTCTTATCAGTAAACAAAAACACAGAAATTTAAACTGTGACCAACTGATGGTAATCATTCTGTTTCAAGTGTGTAATCAACCAAATAATTTCTACATATGTTAACAACAAACTCCCTCATTAAACCTCATTAACTGTACTGACTGTACAGTCTATGTTATCCATCTTTTATTTATTTTTTTAGTCTATTACATTGAAGTCAGGAAATGGAAAGAAAACCAATGTTTAGTTTTCATTTGTTTTTGTTGTTTTATTACAGATCCCGATTCCTTTGGAACAAGGTTCCAAGGAGACAAAACATTTCTTTGAGCATGCAATTTGTTGAAAACAATTGAAACTGTCTGTTTTACAGCTGATCAAAAGTTTCGGACCACAGGCCTTTAAAAGGCCAAATCTCTGCAAAAATGTGGATTCATTATTATTTTCCGTCAGGTAGTTACAATGTCATAATTTTCTGATGGTAAAGGCAGAAGAATGTCCCCTTTTTGAACGTGGTCGGGTTGTTGACCTGCATAAGCAGGGTCTCTCACAGCGCACCATCGCTGCTGAGGTCGGATGGAGTAAGACAGTCATTTGGAATTTCTTCAATGATCCTGAGGGTTATGGAACAAAAAAGTCAAGTGGAAGACCCCAAAAAATTTCACCAACATGGGACATTTTTTTCTCTGATGAGAAAAAAAATGTAACCTTAATGGTTCTGATGGTTTCCAACGTTACTGGCATGACAATCCCACATATCCCACCTGAGATGTTTTCTACATGCCACAGTGGAGGGGACTTCTTCCAGGAGAATAACATCACTCTTATGGAACATCCTGCATGTTCTGTTCCCCTGATCTAAAACCAATTGATAACCTTCGGGGATGGATGGCAAGGGAAGTTTACAAAAATGGACAACAGTTCCAGACAATAGATGCCCTTTGTGTGGCCGTCTTCACCACTTGGAGAAATGTTCCCACTCACCTCGTGGAAACGCTTACATCAAGTGTGCCGCAACGAATTTGATCAACAGTGATCAACAATAACAGTGGAGCTACTCATTACTGAGTTAATGTTTGGAACTTTGATTTTTCTTTTTTTTTGGCGGGGGGTTACAGGGTTTTTTTGGAGGTGTGGTCTTAAACTTTTGATCAGCACTGTATTTTTAAAAAAATACAGTGTTTTGTCGTTGATGGCATACTATGTGTTTATGCTACTTTGTGATTGCCTTCCTCATTGTCATTAGTTGATCTTATTTCAGTTCATTTAATGTGCAGTTAATTCTCTCTCTATTAATTTCTGTGTTCTATTTCATCTGTCAGTTTACTGTCCCTTTGTTATACAAGTTCTGTGCTGACCTTTATAAATCCTGAATTTTTGTCTGTTTTTGTTGTAGCCTCTCAAGTTTCTGGCTATGTTTTCTTTTTCCTTTTTTTTGTCTCTAGTTGGGTTGTCAAAGGAAGCACGAGGAAGTCTGACATCTTTGTTGGTTCAGCCCATCTCTGCCCTCCTCGCCAAGACATTGCTGTCATCGCCATCCACGGGCCAGGAAGGTTCTTGTATTCCTCTAGCAATGCCTCCCAATACAGGTAAGCACACAAACCAGAGTTGCTAATAATGTCTCATTCAACAGACAGTGTTTTCAAAAGTATGAGTTTTTTTTTTTTTAATTAATAAAAACAAACCAGCTTCAATCACAAGCGAAAAGTTACAGCATGCATGAATGAGGCAGTGTATGGAGCACATGAGTGACACAGCTTTAGGACATATTTGGGTTAAACCAGGCATTATGATCAAGGAAGCATTGTGCTTAAAAGCATAGGATATAGATTTATCAGTTCATCTAGGTTCCATTAGTCTCCCTTATCCTTAGGATGCCTATTGTGAGTTTAGGGTCTGTCTATCTTCCATCCAAAACCACTCTGTTAGGACAACTTTCTTAACCACTGCATATGTATATATAGCACTCATAGTTGAAAATAGTCTAGTTAGACTCACTGAGTGAAAAAGTTACACATATAACTTTTCTAAATTGGACCTCTGTGATCCTGTGGAAGCTTCCAACCCTACTGCTGTTGAGCTCTCATTACATTACTTATAGATTTTAAATAAGAAACATTATAAACGTTATTTAAGGTAGAGCAGCTTGATGCATGGACGTAAAAAGGCAGAAAGGAGTATAAGAGGTAAGGGACATATAAGGAGGATTATGTGACAGTCATGGTGGAGATTAAAGAAGGGACTGATTCATTACTATAGCGTATTGTTACTGGTTCTTTGTAGCTACTAGTATATTACCCAAAGTTTATGGTGACATAAAGTTTTAGTTTAATCATTATAGGAGCATGTTTTGTGCTGATGCTTAAACATAGGTTGAGAAAAACTATGATGAGTTATTTATGCTAATTAGCAGTAACAAAATGATGTATTTGCTAATTCAATTCAATTCAATTTTAATTATACAGCGCCAAATCACAACAACAGTCGCCTCAAGGCGCTATACATTATAAGGTAGACCCTACAATAATACATGCAGAGACAAACCCAACAATGATATGACCCCCTATGAGTAAGCACTTTGCATTGTAAATGTCTGAGAGCAACATAAAAGCTAGTTTTGTAAAAGTAATGACAAAAGGTGTGTAAAAAGTTAAGTGAGAATCCATCACATTAAAGAAGAGACAAAAGAATTAAAGGTCAGAACTGACACTCCTAGTGTTGACCTGTCAGTAGGCAAATACATAGAGAAAGTCAGTAATTTCCTTTATGGAGCGGCTGCAATGAAAAGGGAAAAAGCCCTCTTTTCAATATAAAATCATGATGGGCTAAACTGGATTCACGTTTGATGGCCATCTGCCTCAACTGATTGAAGTTAGGGAAGAGCAGAGACAGAGGAAAGCTGAGCACTTAGAAGCAATAAAAAATATGTCAAATATCAACAAGTAACTGCAGATGTAGAAAGTGATTCTATTTACTATAGCAGGTAACTTCATTTTTAAAGAATAAAACATTCATTTAACAAGTGTCAGGCATGAGCAAGCAGTGTAGAGTATATTATCAACTGTTCTTCAGATGTCCTGCTGCAATCCAATTACAGGCTTTGCATGGATCCCTTTCAATCATTTTGAGTCCAGTATCAGGGCATGTCACAGTCTGTCTATAATTACACTAAAGACATCTGTCCTAGATTTGATTCAGACTAGAGCTGAAAAAATTATTTGGTTTAAAAATTAGCTAATCAAAAGAAAAATATTTAGCTTTAAATTTGAATCAATACATATTTAAAACATGTTTACATGTTCAATCACAAATCATCTTTAGTTCGGGTTAGTTAATTTAGCTCTGGCTTTTCTTCATCATTTGACTGGATATTAGCCCCTGTTAAATAGAAGAAAGAAGTTATTTAACAACATAAAACTGACTGCCAGCCAAAACATTTTCAAATGAAATTAATCTAGTTCCAGTGCTGAACTAGAAATAATTTGGAAAATATTTATTAACTGCTGGATGTTTATTAATTTATTTCATCATAGATGTGGGGATATTTTTTAATCACAAGACAGCATTAAACAGAGACGTTTAAAACATTGAAAAGGCACATAAAGTTACATAACCAATAAAATATAAAATAAAGTGTTAAAAGAAAGTCTAGATTTGAAATGCAAGAATAAGTGTGTGAGATGCTGTTTCTGCAGCACTCAAATGGATAACCTTCACCAGCACCTACCCATGCTTGCATATCAGTCACACTCTATGGTGACTCATGGAGTTCATAACCTGGAATTTCCAGCAAACATTGCTTGGTTAACTCACAGATGTGACCCAAATGCCTCCTCACCACTGCAACTCTCAGGTTTTGTGGAAGGGTTTAAAAAGCAGCATGTCCTGAGCAAATCTTAAGTCCTTTGTTTTTATTCTTTATATGTTCTCCATATGGAATACATTGTCATATCATTTTATAGAATTTACTTATCTAGATTTGCAATTAGTACAAAATGTGTACACTACATTAACAGCATTGAGGTCATAGTCAAACATATTCGGTTTAAAGGATAATTGATAGGGGGTTTTGTTAACTAAAGATTTTAGATGCGTTCAGAGCATGTGAAAAAAATTTAAATCAATCACTGAACTGTCTAAAAATGATTTTACTGTAAATTTACTTACTTAGAATTGGAATTTAAATTGGTGACTGAGGGCTTCTGGAAGCCATGAACAAACATTTTCATTTTGGCTTGCATGGATAAGAGAAACTTGGGAGAGTTTTGAAAATAGTCTACCTGTGTGCATTGTCATTTAAAAGAAATGCTTCTATCTAATCTAAACTGAAAATCAAAACGTAAATAGCAGCCTTATTATAACAAGTTGCACATTTATGTTACTGAAAGTTGAAAATTGTTCAAATTTGATGGAACCCAAACAAAGTGCAACAATGCTGCAGCCATTTTAATAGTATTATCTGAGACTCTTATTTTTTGAATGTGCCAGAACTAGGAAAAATGTTTCCAGACAAAGAGTGTCTAGATTGAGGGCTGACATTTTTTAGGTTTTATTTCTGGCACTCTGGTTGATTTGACAACACCATGTCTGGTCGTTTTCATTCATTTTTCACTGCTGTGCAGAAATTCAGTTTTTCAGAATAAGACAGCTATAGAAACTGATAAAAGAAGTTAAATTTGAGGGGCAACAGGGAACCTGATCCATTATACTGCTAAAAGGTGCAAACAATATAGGCAATACATCTGAGCAAAAATACTTGTTTCCAAATGTGATAATTAGGCTGGTGCTGACAGAAAAGAAACAGAACCAGAAGAAAGCAATCAGCGAATGTCAAAGAGGCTACGAAGCTCATAAAAGAAAATATATATGAACACTACTTGCAAGCAGTATTTAAATGTTTTATTACTGCTGTGGAATGCTATGCAATGTGTGTAAGTTAGATTGCTAATGATGAACTACATTTTTCTGAATAATTCTGATTATAACTAAAAATATATGTTTTTGTACCACTATTTTTTTTTTTCAAATATGACCATCATTGCACCTGTTAGGGGGTGGGATATATTAGGGAGCAAGTGAACAGTTTGTGTTGGAAGCAGGAGTGAAGACTAGATGACTGGGTCAGAGTATCTTGGAAGCTGGAGGTCTTGTGTGGTGCCCCCAGTCTGCAGTAGTCAGTATCCTTCAAAATTGGTCCAAGAAAGTAACAGTGAAGTAACTGTGACAGTGTAATGGGTGATCAAGGCTCATTGTTGTATTTGGAGAACAAAGGTTGGTCCCATTAGATGAGCTACTGTAGCTTCAGTTATCAAAACGTTTAACGTTGATGGTTGGGTGTATTTGCATCAGTTTGTCTTGTGAACACATGGCATCAGGATATATAATAGGAAGGAGGAGGTAGTGTGATGCTTTGGGGAAAGTGCTGCTGAGAGATCATAGGTCCTGCCACGTGGATGTTACTTTAGCACAAACTACCAGCCTATGCATTGTTGCAGACCATGTACACCCATTCATGGGAATGGCACTCCCTGATGGCTATGGCCTCTTTAAGCAAGATACCAAGAAGCAAAAATGGTTTAGGAATGGTTTGAGGAGCACAACGCATTTGAGGTGTTGACTTGACTTCCACGTTCCCCAAATTTCAGTCTAGTCAAGCATCCGTGGTATGTGCTGGACAAACAAGTCAGATCCATGGAGACCCAACCTGGCAACTTACAGGACTTAAAGGATGTGTTGCTAATATTTTAGTACCAGATACCACAGGGCATATTCGGGGGTCAAGTGGAGTCCGTGCCTCGACGGGTCATGGCTGTTTTCACAGCAACAGAGGACCAACACATTATCAGGCAGGCGATCATAATGTCACACTTGATTGTATTTTGCCCTTTAATTTGAAGAGTATGTTAATAGATTCTGCAACTGGCAATGAAACTACTCTGTATTGGGAATACTAGCAACCTGAAATTTAGTTATTAATGCCTCTGCATTGTCTCAGTGCGGCTTTCAGAGGCTTTTCAACTTTTCTAGTCCATAAGGTAATAGCTCTCTAACTTTAATCAAAAGTATGCAGCTAGTGAGTTTGAAGAGATTAGTGAGCTTCCAGATAAAGAATTACAAGAGAAATAGAGGTGCATATGTTGTAAGTCATATCATACACCCAGTTTGACAGTGATTTCTGTAGAGTCCTAATTTCAGTATTTTTATTCAGTCAACAACTGCTGACAATAATTCAATATTAAAAAATAGCTGCCCAAAACTTTTGCATTCATGAATACATTTGCTCTCTCGTCTTTTATTGCATCTCCTTTTTATTGTAGTTGTATACCATCTTTCCTCATGTTATTTTTTAATATTTAATTATGTGAACTTGCATTGCTGTAAAGTTTGA